GCAAATCGATAAATAAACCCACCGGCACGCACCCCTCCACGCAATTTTTTTGCACTCCCGTCATTTGCATAATGGAAATTTAATCTTAATTTAATGCGACCTGCTCGGCAACGTCGATGATCCAACGAATATCTTTCAATCCTCTGCGTACATTCGCTTCAATATTTAGTCAAAGCGTACGAGCCGTTTTATAAATCACGTTCAATGAATAAAACCATAAGCCAGGCATCTAAATTATTAAATTAAAACACCGCAAAATGTTTGTTTGAAAATTCATGTTTCGTTTAAGGACAAATAATGCCTCATTTCGTAGACAAATTAACGACTTTTTAATATAGATGTTTTCGTTTTTTAAAAACGTGATAGGAAAAGGTGAAGCAAAGTTTGATGAGAATTTTTTATCGTTTTATGACAAATTCTTTTTACGAGAATTATATGAAAACAAAAAGTTCATATTCGTCTGTGCATAATTTTTTCGCTGAAAGTAATTACGCAAACGGTTAGCGAATTTTAATAAAAATCACAAATTTTCAATCTGTGAAATTGGAAAATGATTCCATTTATTTTAGCAATTCGGAAATGAGATAAAATGTATTATTCCTGATAAATTTCAAGTTATTCCAAATTATTCCTACTATACAAAACATCAATTAAAATTTCCGCAAAACCATAAATGAATTTTAAAAGTTCATTTTCCAGAATCAAAGCGCAATCTTCCATTATAATTATAACATTAAAATATGGATACAGAAATAATAATTTTCCATTTCAATTATACAGACATATAAACGAATAAAATACACGAATGTACTGAACATTACATTTTTTAATTTTGTGGAACATTTTAATAAAACTTATAAAAGAGAACAATATTCCGATTGAGTTACATTTTCAAATACGTTAAATAAATATGAGATAAATTTAATGCATTGTAATCATTAATGTTAGTAGTCGATTTAATTAAAAACAAAAAGGAACACGAATTTCACACAATTGAAACAAAATATAACTTTCGTGTTCTTTGATACCGAAAATAATTTTTAAAAATCCGCAAATGAGGGCAACAGATCCTGCAACGTAAATGCAAGTCAAGTTGCAACTTTTAATCCAAGCTATAAATTAAACGAATATGCAAATGCAAAGGAAACATACGCAGCGTAAGTCTCATACATAATTCAATGCTCTATATTCGAGGCAAACCACGGCATAATACTAATCGATAGACTTAAAGAAGACTCGTTAATTGAGAAGAAAGTAGAGTATCCAGAAAAAAAACAAGAGAACCGAGGTGTTATAATTAGGAACGAGTCCATGTTGAACGTTTGCAAACAGCTGGATTCACCCTCGTCATCCACCACCTCGTCTTGCTCATCTTTCCACCCTTCAGCATTTGACCGGTCGCTTAAGAGGTGGCGCTAACTTTAATTGAATTTAAATTGAATTTAAAATGTTAATACAGAAAAGAAGCTCGGTTACTGCATCCACGTTTTATCATATTCGTTGTTCGTTCTTTTTTTACACCCCCTCTGGCTCTCGTTCGTTCATAAAAATCCCACAACTGCAACGTTTCCATATTTACCCGATCCTCGTCTTTCTCTCTCGTTTTTCTCCGATTTTACTTTTTTCCCCAGGGAGCATCCCTGCCCACCGATTCCTTTGAACGAGCCCGACGAGTAAGTTAATTAGTGAGGAATTAAAATCGCGCTAAACACTCATCAGCCGTGACCGACTTCCGTTCATTAAATTCCATGCATCACCGGTTATAAAACGGCGATTTTAGCGTTTTCTATGGCGAAATCCGATTGCAAAGGGCTCAAGCACCGAACGGTAAGCTCTTGTCACAGGTTTCTGCCAGAAAGAGCTTGTAAGTAACATAATGTAAGAGTTAACTACGCAGTGTTCCAAATAAGTGGAATGAATAATTTTGTTACTTGGCACTACAAAAACCTATTGAATCTATTTTAGAATTTCCTTTGCACTACCTCCGTACTTCCTTTATTAATTTCTTGTATATTCAGAAGCACCTGGTGTATCGCAACGGTTGATAAAGTTCCTCAAAACATTTCGGGACCACCGCGTATATTCGTTGCTAATGCGCATATAACTTGCCCTGAAGGTAAATCTCTTCATAGGGTTCAATGCGGCGGACCGATGCATCGATGCATTATTTTAATCCCCTTCGGTATAAACAAACCAAGTTGCGCATTATCGTACCTGTCGTACTGACCGCTCTACACGTGTTCCGTTTCCTATAGGATGTATTAAATATCCGCAATCAGCCTCGAACAAAGATAACACAGCCATGAAAATTCATCTATTCGACGGTTAACATTTTTACACGAGCGTTTTTCGGGTAGAAAAGTTCAATTATCAGGGGGTTCAGATTCATTTTAACAGAGGCCTTCAATCTCTGCTTTTTCAAACCGTGATATTGATTTTACTGGCTGAATTGGTTCGTTTCAAGTTACAATAGCCTCCTCAAATTTTAATTTACTTTACTTAATTTAGCTTGCGTTGTTATTATTCAGATTGTTAACAAAGTGTAGATACACAGTGGGAGAGGTGATCAAGGACCCCGTAATGGAGATGAACATAACATTTAAAGAAATCATAGTTAACCGATTTTAGTCTGTATATGTAGATATACAGACTTGTACAACATCTTCAAACCTGAAGACACCGCTTGCAACCTGTAACGACTGCATATATACAGTAATAAAAGAAGGAACGAAGCAATTTCGAGGGAATCAAAAGTGAGAATCGTTGTACCAGCAACGGCATCTCCCCTAAGACAATTGAAGTAACTCGATCATCCAGGAAACTCGCATTATCATCCTGAACCGCGCACGCCTGCGGCCAGGCTCCCCAATTACACGCAGGCAGACGGTGCGCACTGTTGCAACATGACAATGGGGCGTGCTCTGGTACGCGCGGCAAAGTACACCAGGGGATGATGCCGCTGGTGGTGCGATGGCGGCGGTGGTGGTAGTAAATCGAGTTTCACGATGAATCGCCGAGTTGACCCCTGCGGGCACTTTCGCTGTGTTTGCTTTGATTCCAAGTTTCCGGTTAAGTTGGTTACCGGAACGAGCGGACAGGCTCTTTGTTTGATCCACCAGACCCGGCAGGCCTCCTGGATTTTCGATACCGTTCGCACGCGAATCGTTCCATCGACCTTTGAGATCCTCGCGTCTCCTGCCTCGGGCGACTCGACCTCGAACTCGTTCATGGAGCTTCTCTTTTTGATACTCCGCAAAGAAGATTCCCAGGCTTTTGGGTTCATCGTTATTGGACTAGGGACGCGTGCCAGAAGTCATTCGTCAGGCTTTCTTTTCGTCCTGCTCCTTCTTGGGTGCAGAAATTCAAAGCAAAGGATAGTGCAACGCATAGTGTTAACGCGACATTTGCAATTTCTTGATCATTGAGTTAGTATACGAGGCGTTCCATATCATCACTTCAAGATTGATACATTTACTTTTGCCCAGTTGAAACCTGTAGCCTGTGAAGGTTTAACGCGACAGGTCCTTTTCGTGTCAGAATCATGATATCACCCCAACCAGGTTCCCTGTATTTTAATAACTATAAAATCGTGACTAATATTACTTTTATCGTGACTAACACTGGCTTTATATGGGCTACAGCAATTGATTCCCACATTTTTCATCGCGTTCCACGAGCGGAAGTCATTTCACGGGACGTTTCGTCGCGAAACGTTTATAAATTGTTGGCGTAACGTGGAGTATGACTGCATAATTATAACGTCGACGTAAAAACGCTACGACCAACCCATTAATACCGTGAATGGAAATATTCGACGAGTGAACTCGTGGCCGCCGATAAATACGTATTTAGCAACGATTAATATTAATTTACGCCGAACTGCGTGTAACACGCAAACATCGAGGACGACAAATTATTCTGGAGAATGTATCATTTTGAATCCCGCCGATAATTCGGGTAAATGAGGATTATGTTCGTTCTCGAAGCGCATGATTTTCGAGTAGGCTGAATGGAAAAGCGTTGCCCAACCAGAGATTTTTGCTTCGGTAATGTAACTTGATGAATCTGTTGTAAAATGGAACTGGCAAATAATACAGTAAAGACTGGACAAGTGCAAGAAAATCGGGACCCAAACATTGGAGTTATCCAGTCGAGGTTTCTATTCTGTGTAATTGTAATAACGGTGTGCAATCTATGCCACCAAATAGCTACTCTTCTTCCTAACTCAGACTAGCGCGAAAAATAGCCGAAAAGGATGAGGTCCATCATTAAAAATATAGAAAACGCACTTTGATCCTTGGTTAAAGAGTGCTCGACAAACCGCGAATCGGGGCTAAATCGAGTCTCGTTCAGAATAATAACGCCACGGTGTACGGAACGTCACCGACGAGGGGTGAATAAAGCTGGCGAATGGTGGAAAAAGAGAGGGATGAGGTGGGGGTGGCGCCTTTGTGTTCACCACCTCTGTGGAGCAGGCCAAGCGAACGGATAATAATGGATAATAATGCCTAAATGGACGATCATCGATTCGAATCCCGCGAATCGATGATTCGATTGTTTCTGTTATTGCGCGCCCGGCCATCCGCGTCCGGGTCGCGAAGTGGGCCGCTCGTGCGGTACAAATTCGAATTCCAACCGTGGATCAAACGTGTTTTTGCGAAACGAGAGTATCGAGAGCCCGTAAATATTGTTTGGGAAAAGATTTCCTCGGTAATTCTGTCTGCTCTATTGGCGAATCAATGGAGAACTAAACATACCATAGCTGGTTCCATGTAATAATAGGACATTCCACGCTCGCGTTGTGATTTTTCATCCCCAGGCTCCATTTTAATCAAATAAAATAACGATTTACCAGCACAATCTCTCCAACTCTTGCGTGTGCGCAAAGTATGTAAATTTTTTTTTAAGTAATTAATAGGTTCTATACGAGAAATGAAATTACTCTTACAGAAATCTAATAAATGTCAGAAATTTTGCGAGCATGATTCGTGGACACTCACCTGATTCTTGCCCTTGAGGACGAGGACGTTTGTGACACGGCCGAAGGGTACACCAAGATGGATGATCTCGGAGTCTGACACCTCGTTTGGTATGTTTCTGATATGAATGACCCTCGACGGTTTGCCATTGTGGCTCTTGTCGAGTTTGACCTGCAACACAAAAGAAATTTCATCGTGAGAATTACGTTTCATTGGGTGGGTGGAGATTTATGTGTGCTCGATACTGGAGATCTAGCAAAGTCGTAAATTCGATGAGGGGTGAAGAGGGTCTGAGCAAATAGGACAAGAAGGAAAGTCGGACAAACGTGGCCACATTTCCTTTCTTTGTCCATTTTTATTGTGTTCCGCAGATGGAGCAAAGGTTTAAAGTGCGAGAACAGGGGTTTTGTTCGGATTGAAATATGTCAAGTCCCTGGCAAAATCGTTTAATGGAATCGTTTAAAAAATACAGGAAAACAAAGAGTAAACGACGATGAATTGACAGCAAACATTCTCAAACAATGTCAAACTGGAAGCTATGAAACCAACCAGGGTAAACGATTCCTTTCCTGAGAATGTTTCACAACAAAATTCCTATTCTGTGGCTGAAATGCGATTTTAAAATTCCATTAGTCCTCGTTAAAAAGTCTACGGACGGGAGTCACACACGGACAAACCACTGGCTTCCAATAATGCTCGAAGGAGTCCCAAACCATCGGTTGCCTCCCCCCCCCCTTCTCTCTGCGTGTAAAAGTAACGAAACTTTTCGCTCGCGTATACATTTAAATGGAAACTCTTGTTGCCGGGGGCAGAATTTTCAATCACGGCTCAATCTAGTCGACTCGGCTTGCCGTCAACCTCCCTTTCGCTCACCCAGCCCCCGCTACCCTCTTATAATCCCAAACTCTTTCCTTTTCTTTCTTACCCAATCCTTCCCCAATCCCCCAATCCTTGGCAAGAGGTCGCTCGGGTTTGGCCGGGTTTAACCGATCGGAAAACGCGCTTCTTACCTAGTTAAGGGGACACAACGCTGTAAAATTTGTTTACAAGTATGTTTTCTGTACACATTTCAAAAATGTTTTGTTATCTTTTGAAAAAGATAGGCTGGACATGTTGGATATTATAAGAAAAATTATGATTCATTATCTAAAATTTCTGTTACAATAACAAAATTATTTCTCTCATTTGAACTAACGTTAGAAGAAATACCTACAAGGTTATTTTAGGCTGTTACTTTTTGTCTTCATTTCAGATCAACTTTACTCAGGTCTTGTATAGTAATATTACACACGTATTATTGTACTTTCAGGAAATAATGGTGGCTGGATTAAATCTTCCCTCGAAGATTTAACGTCGAGATCGTCGGCGCGATTTGAATGCAAAGTAATCGGTTCCTCCGCGATTTCATATAATGGCGTATTATCGTGTATTACTCGATAATCGAGTGCAGGTATAATGCATAATGAAGACGTAATTGACATAATTTAATTGCACGACAGAAAATTTGTCGTACACGATCCTTTACTTCTTAATTGCTGTATAATATATCATCGAGTATTTAATTTTCCTAATTATGATCCATCGCGTTTAATATTTAAATTGTATACAGTGCGATAAAGATAAAGAAAGAATGGAGGAAATGGTGAATTAACCGCCGAAGATTTGGAAGAGTTTAATCAATTTATCGACGAAAGATAATTTTAGCACATATTTTAAGAAATATCAGCATGTTAAGTTATATTCGTGTACGGATTAAAAATTGAATTTTACTAGGCGACAGTTGATAAATTACTGTAAATATATTTATGAAAGGTGACACGCAATATTCTTCTATCGTATATGTCGATTTTCCTGCCACATCTGGTGCTTCATAGAAAAATGTACACGTCAGATTGAATACCGTTTTCCCATGATTTATTTCCCTCGGAATGTATAACGTCAATATTGACAAAATTTGAAAAATACCCACACAATCCGTTTAGATTCTAATATATTTCTTTCTAATATCGTGTCGCAGAAAATTTTATTCAATTTTTTCTAATACGCTAAATCTTTAAAAAATGCAAGTTCAGTTAGTATACCTAAAACATTTGGCCTTGTTTAAAAATTCAAAACACACATAAATCCTTCACGTAATAAGTCTCCTTCTCGAGTTTTATCAACCCTAATCTCAAGCTGTCTTTGGTATAATAAGGCGACGAGAGTATCCCAAGAATAGTCGTAGCGAAGCAGGTCAGAGAGAAGGGTTAGTTTTGAATCCACATGCGTCGTGGGGTACTATGTCCGAGCAACTTTTTCCCTTTCTGAGTTCTGTCGACTGAGGTTAAAGGGTACAAGAATTACCACGGGATCAAAAGAAGTCGAGGGTTTAATTTCAAAGGTTAGCTGCCGGCCAGGGGCCTCCTCTCGAGGCTTCCCGTTGCCCGAATCCACCTCAAGCCACTTCAGAAGACTCCAAACTCATCTTCGCAGACTTCGCGAAAGGACAGGGAGAGTGGACGAGCGAGAAGAGGAGAGAAAGCAGGGGAAAAGGGAAGGAAACCCGTGGAGAAGAAATGGGGAGACAGTCAGTGGAATATGGCTCCGACGGAAACCTCGTAAAACTGCTGCTTATACGTGCTCCGGCTCTCTAAAGCTCGAGTAACGATAAGAAACGACGATAAATAGGAGTAAATTTCCGAGACAGGTGAGTGAGTCGCTTCTGGAATACTCGTAAAATAAACCTGAAACGATCTGCGTTTTATTGGAATTCAGGTGCTGTTTCGATACTTACGTTCAATGTTTGACTTCTCATCCTGCCGGTTAGGATGCTGCTAAAATGCAATATTCTAGATGAGACCGTGTACAAAGCATACCTTTGGTCGTAACCAAATCTACGAGTATATCAACTCCTTCCTATGGGTGAAAAGGCCAAGATACGTCAACCGTGACACCAAGGAGTATGCTTAGAATCCTGAATAGAAGTTCTAGATCCCAAGGGAAAGTTTCGTCCAGCGTGGGTAATTTCGGGCAAGAGTCTACGAAATGAGACACTCAAAAAGTGGAAGGCACGACGCGGCAAGTGGGCTGTCGATCGCAGAAGAAGAGGCTTAATTGTCCAGCGTTTCTCTTCCTCGCAAGGGCAGGTTAGGTGGCCTGATGCAGGCCACGAGAATCGCGCTCTCGTGGAGCAAACAAGATGACTTCGAGTGCCGTTCAACCGCTCTCGCCAACGACCTCGAGGACCTCTTCGTGCCTGGACAGCGTGTTCTAACATTACCACTTTCGACCTACACTTCGGATCCCTTTTTGTTCATGTTGGGCGCATTTCGACAGCCTCGGCCCGGTCAGCAATTTGATCTCGTTCCAGTGAAATGTTTATTAAGCGAGTATGTTGATTAAATAATAAAAAAAAAATCCTCTCGAAATCTACAATTTTATACAACAATGCTTCAAAGACGTGTGAATATATTGTTGCGTTTCTATGAGACAAAATGGCACACCTACTAATAAATGTCATTTTCTATGCACCCCGTCAGCTGCAGACGCCACGAGCTCGGCGCTAGTGTCGCGACTCGCATAAGTTCCAGACTGTTTCTTCTCATAGATGAATATCATGTATCATAGTTCATCACCGTGCGTCGTATTATAACCCTTTACGTCATAATCTTGTCTATACTGTCCTGCTACTATTCTGCGAGACTTAACTGTTCGAGGAGTTTCTTCTTCATCTCACAACCACGATAAAAATCCTCTGGGTTGGCTTTCCCTGGCCCGTCTTGGGTTTCTAGGCGTCCTAACCGAGAATATGTCTTCCTTCATCCGAGCCGATAATTGGACATAATGGAGGCAATTCGCGGAAAATCGCTTGTAGGAAATGGGCACCGTGACCTCCTCCCACCGTCTGATAACGAGGGAGAATGCGCTCCGCCGACCGGAAGTCAACACTCCAATTCCGTTGGAAAACACTTTGCCGCGGAAAACTCTTCAGCTTCTCAAGAAAGCAACGCAGAACCCTATAATTTTTTTTTTTTTTTTTTTACAATATTGGACGTTACGTGAAATATGTTTACGAGTTTCATCTTTTTCCCTAACCAGGACACGGCTAACTATGGCTGCTATGATACTTTAGGAATATTCTTCCGAATGGGCACGATAATTGGCAACGAAATTTTTGTAATGCAATTTTTCCTTCAACCCCCTGTCATTAAATGCGTCGTTCACAATGCATGACATTTTCATACAATTATTAGAAACTGTTAGGAAAATTTTTAAATTATTGAAAGACGTGCGATGAATTTCAATGAAAATAAAATAAGAAGTCAATACTAAATATAATAATGTAAGATTGTGAACGTGTGCATAAAAATCCAAAAACTACAATGTTAATAGCACTGAGAAGAAACTAACGTTTGATAAGACGTCTAACCAGAGTCTAAACCGCCTTTTGCCGTACGTTTCGCTCTTCAGGTTATTGCGCATGCCCGTGGATCCTTTGAAATTCGACGGATAAGGATCACAGATGCACAACGAAGACACGTGCCCCACAAAATGTTTCTATAACCCCACGGATTTTGCTAGTCGTAGAATCGCGTGCACTGTTCGCGACGCATCCGAAATCAGGTGATAAATATAACTGACGGCGCGAAGAAACTGAAGGCTGCGTAGCTGGTCGATGTCACACCGACGCTCGCCTGTTCCCGGCATCACTCGGCTATCCTCGGATGTCATACTTACAAGGGAACATATCCAATTGTCACATTTTGATCAAATGTATGTGGTGCATTTCTATATACTAGTATACTATTATTATTTACAATCAATGGAAAAACCAATAAATTATTTTTTCAAGATATTTAAAAAAATATGGTTCTCGGCTCAACATTCAGCCCCAACATCCACGTCTCTTAAAATGTTTTCCTGCTAATAGTTCCAAATTGCGATAAACAACGTACACCCTGATCCCTGGAGTACAAAAGAGTTAATTCAACGAGTCAACGAGAGATTTTTGTTGTTAAACCAGACCCGTGGAGGGTGGAATGCGAGGGGTGGTATCGAAAATGTATCCGAGGGACCGTCGAGCGAAATGGTGAACGCAGAAGCGAGAGAAATATCTAAAAAGGACAAGTGAGCTATCGAAATCGATATCCTGCGCGTGTATTCATCGAAATCGAAACGCGAGGAGGAGTGGG